TGGTCTTTGTGCGTATTTCACACTCTTAGCGACAGTGCGTGCCCATGCCACAGTCTGCCACGTGTGCAAAGGGGCAGGGGCAAAGCCACAAAGGCACTTTATTGAGCTGTGGACCTTCCCAAATGTACTATTAGTCATCATGCTAATTATTACAGATTTGTATTATGATGGTACCTACATTCCCCAACTGAGACTGGGGTCTCATTGTGCTGGGTGCTGTACAAACACCTCGTGAGAGACAGTCCCTGCCCAGAAGAGCTGGCAGACAAGACAAGGTAGTGATAATAATCCCTAGTTCTTAGTGCGCATCTTTCCTCAGTCAATCTCAAAGCACTTCACAAAGGACGGCAGTATCATTAACCTCATTTTAGAGATGGGGAAACTGAGGCACGGGGCAAGGAAGTGACGTGCCTGAGGTCAGGCACAGTTTGGGATGCTCAGTTCTTCTGAAGATCAGACCTGAGGCATCTCAAAATCGAGTGCCCAAAAATGGAGGCATTCAGACTCGGTGATCACTTTGGAAAACTTTGGCCTGAATGGTTTACTGCCCTTGGTGGCTGCCAGGCTTGCTGCAGCTAGCTCTATGCCAGCCACCAGGCAGCTCACCATTTTCCCTAGGATGTCCCTGGTGGTTAATTGCCAGCAGGTACCTGATTCCCTTGGATGGCGGGGATATACACCTAAGAGAGTGTGCTGGACCCTGAACAGGTGAGATGGGCATGCTCATTAGCCAGTATCAAACTTCAGGAAATCAGCCCCTCCCTGACGGAGGCTATATGGGTGAATTCTGCCCCCACTGCAGAAACCCCAGAGTGGCCAGGATTTCACCCTGCATGAGGGACTGGCTCCTCAGCGGAAATAATTCAGTGTAGCTCCAGGGTAGTCAATGGAGCTACACTGAATGGTGTTGGGGACTGTGCCTTTAAGGGCTGAGCTTCCCAGCTCTGGTTGTGGTTATGCCCAGCCAGTTGGAAGCTGGAACTGACTTAGCATAAAGCAGGGCCTGGATCCTCAAGGGTATTTAGGCACCAAACTCCCATTGATTTCAGGGAAAATTAGGAATAGAAATACCTTTGAGGATGTGGGCAATCACTGAGTGCCACACACTGATTCACACCAGAAGAGGAGTGGTGCAGATTCTTTTCCCCTAGTGCAACTGCCAGTGCTAGCTACAGTGATCAAAGCATGGGAAGATTTTCTTGCTCTTCAGTTTTGAGTGCATTGCTACAGCTCAGGAGCCATGAATTTGCTGCAGCGGTGCAGCCAGAACGCATTGTCTCAGCGCCTTTTTCCGCAAAGCCACCATCCGTTGTCAGCCTGAAGGCTCCCAAAGAACCCCTGTACAGAACCTCAGGGCTACAGCCTGCAGTCCCCACTTGGGCAAAATGCTGCAGCCATTTCTGAGGTGGAACGTGGCACCTATTGAACAGCACACAGTAACAAGTAATTTTTGCAGCAGAGTATTTTTGTTCCCTTTCTTATGAAGAGACGGGATTATTAACTTCCTGATTTGAAACTCTAGGGAACGTCGACTGGCAGAGTGTTTCCAGGTTGGTACAACATAATTAGGCATGTTAGAAGTTGGCCAGGGCCGTAGGGACAGCACCTACTCTTGCAAAGAGTGCCAAGGGATCTTTTAATGATTCAGGTGTCTGCTTTGCTATTTCCTGCAATACTGCCAGGCTCTCACAAAGGCAGCTGCCTCTTGTAGCTTAGAAAGGACTTTGTGCTGCAAAATGAGGGATGGGGAAAGCATTCATGGCATGGACAGCTCCACTGTTTGGTTCTGGTGCAGTATTGTATGTTACTCCAGGCACTGGCTTGGGCCATGATGTCACCTCAGGAAAAAACACAGAAGTTTATTGCCTCCACCTGTGAAGTGCCTCACATGGCTCCTCCATTACCTTGATAGGTGTGGTAGGCAGTGTGGCCTAGTGGCTAGTGCACTAGGCAGGGATTTAGGAGTCCTAGGTTCTAATCCCAGCTCTACTACTGGCTGGCTGAGTGACCAAGAGCAAATCATGTTCTTGCTCTGTCCCTCAGTTTCCCCACCTGTAAAAATGGGGATAATTGTACTGCCCTCCTTTGTGGAGAGTCAACCTGTGGAACTCCTTGCCTCAGGAGGTTGTGAAGGCTAGGACTATAACAGGGTTTAAAAGAGAACTAGATAAATTCACGGCAGTTAATTCCATTCATGGCTATTAGCCTGGATGGGTAAGGAATGGTGACCCTAGCCTCTGTTTGTCAGAGGGTGGAGATGGATGGCAGGAGAGAGATCACTTGATCATTACCTGTTAGGTTCACTCCCTCTGGGGCACCTGGCATTGGCCACTGTCAGCAGACAGGATACTGGGCTGAATGGACCTTTGATCTGACCCAATATGGCCATTCTTATGTTCTAGAGCTCTGAAATTGGCTGATGAAAAGCATTAGATAAGAGCCACGGATGGGGGGGGGGTGGTCTCTCCTATAATACCACCTATGCTGGGTATTTTCTGAAGGAGTGGCTGCTTTTCAGCCCTGCTACAGGCAAAGGGCCCAGAACCTGGGCTTTTGCTTGCAGTGTTGGAATCTGAGCTCCCCATGTGACAGGTTTGGTCACAGACACCCCCTTGGGACTGTCACCTGATGTGCTGACACCACCTCTGAGCCCGTTTTCTCTGATGGCTTGGGAGTCCAGAGCCCTGTCTTGTTGAGCCAGACATGCTCGCCTACTGCAACACAGACCCAGGGTTTGAACCACGCCCCCAAAGCTGCAGATTTAACTGAAAACAGCTCAGCAAGTACTCCTGTCTCCAGCACCCAGACACCCAGCTCCCACTGGGATCCAAACCCCAGATAAATCCGTTTTACTCTGTATAAAGCTTATACAGGGTAAACTCATATATTCTCCACCCTCTATAACACTGATAGAGAAATATGCACAGCTGTTTGCTCCCCCTGGTATTAATCACTTACTCCAGGTTAATTAATAAACAAAAGTGATTTTATTTAGTATAAAAAGTAGGATTTAAGTGGTTTCAAGTAATAACAGACAGAACAAAGTAAGTTACCGAGCAAAATAAAACAAAACACGCAAGTCTAAGCCTAATACATTAAGAAACTGAATACAGGTAAATCTCACCCTCAGAGATGTTCCAATAAGCTTCTTTCACAGACTAGACTCCTTCCTAGTCTGGGCCCAATCCTTTCCCCTGGTACAGTTCTTGTTAGTTCCAGCTCAGGTAGTTACTGGGGGATTTCTCATGACTGGCCCCTTTTGTTCTGTTCCACCCCCTTATATATCTTTGGCATAAGGCAGGAATCTTGTGTGTCTCTGGGTCCATACTCCTCCTTCTAAATGGAAAAGCACCAGGTTTAAGATGGATTCCAGTATCATGTGACGTTCTTCCAGGGCTGGTCCGCACATACCCAGGAAGGTTTGCAAGTAAATAGAAAGAAAAGGAGTACTTGTGGCACCTTAGAGACTAACCAATTTATTTGCGCATAAGCTTTCGTGAGCTACAGCTCACTTCATCGGATGCACCCCCCCCAACACACAAAGAGCCCACCACTGGGCTGGGGAAGAAAGAGCTAAATTAAAGAGAGAGGCAGCCAGGCTGAGCTATTGCTGAGACACACTGGCCGGTTGTCTCGACCCCCACCACAAGCCAGATGTCTCCTCTCAGAGGGATCCTGGCACTCAGTACAAATCTGTGGAGGGCACTGCAAGATCCATGGAACAAGTAAGAAAATGAAAGTGATGCTGGTTCTCTGGCTTTATGAAAAGTTGTGCTACAGCATGTAATTTAGCGCCTGGGCCCTGTGCTGACTGGCACCCTATAAATATCTTGCATGAGGGTGTTTCACAATCAGCCTGGATGTTGGCATGCTAAGTGCAAGGCTGATCTTTTCTGCCAGGCCTGTCGGGAGGCAGCTGGTTGAGGGGTGCAGGGGTTTCATTATGGTGGAGGGGGGTTACTGGATCCCCTGGGCCAGTGCACACCCAGGTAGATAGCATCAGAGCTAAGTGTACATCCTACCATGGGATGCTGTGGGCAGAATTCACTGATGCAAAGGGTGCCCAGAGCATAGGATGGGCACTTGTTTATGCTTTATTAATCAAAATAAATACCTTAATGACATATTGGAAAAGCGGGCCAGAGCCTCCACCCTGTGTCTTGTGTTCCTGAACTCAGAGGGTGTCAAACAGGGCCCAGTCCAGTTGGTATTGTTTGACACCCACAGTGAAAATGACTACACACAGAGTAAGGCAGTGAGGAATCGGGACTAGTGAATCTGACCCTGCTCTCATGATACCAGTGCTGCCATCCTGGTGGAAAGGAGAGACCCAATCTTCATTAATCTAATCAGCCCTGCTGGGCTCAGGTTAGAGAGTGTGGGGCAGCACACACCCCTTCGTGCAGGGACTTATTCTGCTCTTGGCTGGCCCCATGTCAGGCTTGGATCAGCCAGCCAACACCTCATGAAAAGGGGAGGGGGCTATGAGGGGAGGGGGAGCTGGGCAAGGGAAGGAGGAAGATATCTGTGGGGAGGGGGAGGGCTATGAGAGGAAGGGTGGGAAATGCCCAGGGCAGGGGAGGGGGAAGATGCATGGGGCTGGGCAAGGGGAGAGGGGAGATGCGAGAGGGAGATGCAGGGGGGGCTATGAGGTGAGGGGGGAGATGACTGGGGGGGGCTATGAGGGGCGGGGTGAGAGATGCCCTTGAGGGGGGCTGGGCAAGGGGTGGGGGAGGTGCTGGGAGGGGCTAGGAAGGAGGAGGGGGAAGATGCCCGTGTCTGGGGCGGGAAATGCCCGGGGCGGGGGTCTGGGCAAGAGGAGCAGGGCTATCACCGGGGGGTCAGATGTCCCCGCCAGGCCCCGCCCCTCACCTGAGCACGGGGCGGTGCTCTGGGGACGAGGCCTGAAGCAGCCAATGAGCGAATCCGGAGGAAGTTGAGCGCTCTAGGGGCGGGGCTCCCGGCAGCCAATGGGAGGTCGCTGGGTGGGAACTGAGAGCGAGCGGCCGGCGCTGGAACTGGAGCGAGTCGCTGGGTTACGGCGCCGAGCCGGGGGCAGAGCGCGGGGCCGCCGCCGCCCAGGTACCGGGGCCGGGCAGGGGGCGGGACTGGGGGGCGGAGGGATCAGGCTGTGCAGGAGGATGGTGGGGGGGCCAGGCAGGCGGTACAGACTGGGGAGCAGAGGGGGTGGATCGGGCAGGGGCGCAGGCTGGGTGGCTGGGTCCGGCAGGGAGCCCAGGGTGGGCCCTGGGGAGCAGAGGGGGTAGATGGGGCAGGGGCGCAGGCTGGGTGGCTGGGTCCGGCAGGGAGCCCAGGGTGGGCCCTGGGGAGCAGAGGGGGTAGATGGGGCAGGGGCGCAGGCTGGGTGGCTGGGTCCGGCAGGGAGCCCAGGGTGGGCCCTGGGGAGCAGAGGGGGTGGATCGGGCAGGGGCGCAGGCTGGTGGCTGGGTCCGGCAGGGAGCCCAGGGTGGGCCCTGGGGAGCAGAGGGGGTGGATCGGGCAGGGGCACAGGCTGGGTGGCTGGGTCCGGCAGGGAGCCCAGGGTGGGCCCTGGGGAGCAGAGGGGGTGGATCGGGCAGGGGCGCAGGCTGGGTGGCTGGGTCCGGCAGGGAGCCCAGGGTGGGCCCTGGGGAGCAGAGGGGGTGGATCGGGCAGGGGCGCAGGCTGGGTGGCTGGGTCCGGCAGGGGGCTTAGGGTGGGCCCTGGGGAGCAGAGGGGGTGGATCAGGCAAGGGCGCAGGCTGGGTGTGATAAGAGGGAAGTGGGGAGATAGTATAGCCAGGCCTCAGGGAGCAGCATATTTGGGCTGCTGTGTTGTGTGCCAGGGGACTGAAGGGAAGTTTCCTCCAGGCAATGCCAGGAATGCTCCCTTTGTACTGTCAGACTCCACTTGGACTTCCTGGCACATGTCCCGGGGGGTTTGCTGGCAGGGACCCACTCTTCCATTTATGCTCCTTTTGCAGCAGTGACAGAGATGGATCTTGTTACTGTGTAGGGGGCCTTCAGCCCAGATGGCATCTGCTGGCTTATGGGGGGGGGGGGCGTTGGATGGTGAGGTGGTGTCGGTTGTAGCTGATCTGTAGTGCGGACGGACTCTGCCATACCTAGCAGTGTGCCTGTAGTTGAGTGTCCCCGATCCTCCTAGGTTGGAATCTCCAAGGCCGATGGCTCTGTCCACACGCACGAGGATACTGTGAGGTTAACTCAGGATCTGTAGCTCTCATGGCACATGTGTCACCCAGTTATTGCTGTGCTGGGGCAGGGAAGTGAGGTCACACCCTGCCACTGACTTGCTGTTGCTGTTTGATTTGAGGCTGAGGCGAAGGGCCTGTTTTCTTGGTTTGCTCTCTGAAATTAATGGAACGAGTCTGAGGAAGCCGGTACGCAGCCTGCTAGGACCATATCTTCCTCTCTTACCTGCTGCTATCCATACAGTAGCGGCTAAATACCCTGTGCACCAAGGGTGAGGTGGTGCTGACCTCTGACAGATGAAGCAGGAGGGAAGAGGCTCTTGTGCTAGTTGCAGAAGTGTCTCTCCAAGCCTGACTGAACACAGGGCTTTTGCAGTTCCAGCCCGGAGCTGTGCAGGAGGTGAAGAGGGGGGTTCCTCTGCTACAGCCTCTGGAGATTTCCGATCTCTAGAACTGCTCTGGGCTTCACAAGCTGGTTAATCTAGGCTCTTTGCAGCTGTAATAGAGCTAAAGGTTGCCTGCAGCTAGGAGTTCTCCAAATGCTTTGCCATGAAGACTGCTTGAGGAGGACAGAGTTGTCTATCTGTCTGAGAGCAGAGTTGTGTCTCTGGCTGAGGGCCAAACAATGAATTTTTCTGCTTGAGTTTCAGCCAGGGGTTGCTTGCTGAGGTTCTGGAGGCCCTGTGGAACTGGGATGTAAACCACAAGTCCTAGGTCAATGTCCCTTCTGGCTGGTGAAAATCACTTGGAAAGCGTTGGGACCATTATTAGAGCTCATTGTCAACACCTCTTTTCAGGAGGAAGAGATGCCTGCTTCTCTTAAAGATCCTTCCTCACTGAACCCTTTTGATGGTGCCCAGCTCTCTAACTATTGCTGTGTCCTGAGTTCCCTGTTATTAATGAAGTGGTGGCAAGGCAGCTCTGTCAGGACCTGGATCCTCAGGTCTCCTGGACTCCAGTCAGTCTGGGGTTCGGAGATGGCAGTGATTGGTGTTTAGGAGTGATTCCCCTCCTGGTGATCCCTTCCTTTAGAGTGACTAGCTACCTTCCCTATGTATGGTGACTCTAATAGGGGGCAGATGAAGTCACTGAGTGATTCTGCTCCTTTCTTACTGAGGGACCCCAGAGGTTACTGGGCAATTGCTCCTATGCCCTAAGGGCTACTTCAGGCTTGGTTTCCTGTAGTTTAATTGTGAGTAGAATATTTGCAGTAAGGTCGGGCCCTTTGACTTTGGAATTCACTTCCCTCTTGGTTCAGTGGCACACTCTGGGTATGCTGCAAGACTGGTCTTTTTTGCCAGTTTTTCAAACGGGGGAGATTAGGGTGGGTATAGTTAGGTTTGAAGTGGGGGCAATGGCTGCGACTCCTTGATAGGGTGGAGAGAGTCCACCATCTGTTGCTTTTATTTTCAAGATTTCCAGCCGCTTTAATGCAGGTGCCCCCTTGAATAACAGAGTGGGCACAAAACCCAGGCAGGTCTTAGAAAGGGCTGCATAGCACTGGGTTTTGGTGCAGCTGGTTCTGTAAATCCAGAGAGCAAGAGAGGGAATGAGGAGTTTTCCCTTGCCAGTGCAGATGGCCACAAGCAATTCTACACAGGTCTTGGTGCCAGCACCAAAGCTTGCATCAGACAGAAATGAATTACTGGGAAGGAGGAGGAGGGCAGTCAGTGAGAACTTGTGGTTTCTTCTAACTTCTCCCTACACAGTTCTTGCTTTGTGTGCAGCAGTTGAGCCTTAGTGCTGGAGAGCAGGACTGCGGAAGCCTGTCTCTGCCATGTTCACAGCTCTGCAACTCTAAACAGGGCTGGACACGTTGGCAGATTAGCAGGCAGTATTCTGCTGCTGACACGTTCAGGCTTTTTGTGTGCGAATGTTTCCAGGCAGGTGTTAGAAACTCTGTTTTTGATGAGCTTCGTAGGTCCCTTTGTAAACTGGGTTGCGGAGCATAGGGTTATACGCTGGGAAAGCAGAGGGAAAAGCAGGCTTTTATTTAGCTGGGGCAAAAAGTTTTCCCCACACTTTCTCTTTTCTCCATTTTATTGCCTCTCATCAGCCATGCTACTGCATCGTTCACCAGGCTGCTGGCGCTTTCTCCATATGCTAATGAACTAATGAAGCTCCGTACTGTTTCTTGTTGGGAAACGGAGTTGGTGTTTCCAGTAAAGCAAGGCCAGGCCTGCCTTTGAATCTCAGCACTAACAGGATCTGCACTGTTTGTTTTGCTTTATTACATTTCATTCTTTGTTTTTTAGTATGAGCATCTGAATAACGCCCTCCCCCCGCCCTGGTGCATGTTAATTCTTTCAGCAGACTGAGCAGTCTCTTGGATTGGGAATGTTTATTTGCGTTGGTAGATATATATGTGTGTATATATATATATAGGGATGCTGCATTGGGCTTGGATTTCTGAGATGCGCTCTGACTGCCTGGCTTCACTTCTTCCAAACACGTGGCATCTTTCCTAGCTATCTAGACTTCACCTTTTTCAGTGCCTTTAATCCTACTGCCTGACACTTAGAACATGGCTAGCAGGGAAGATGAGAGCCCACTGTGCCTCACCCTGTTCACAGGGAACACAGGGAAGAGACGGCTTCATTCTGTATTGTTTGTGTGTCCTTGGTCTTGCTGCTTAGATTGCCAGTATGGACACGTGGCCACTAGGAACCGGACCCACAGCATGCAGGCTACCAAACAGCCAGCAGATGATAATTACTTGTGATTGTTACTGACCTTCTTGAGACTGTGGCCAACCAGCTAGAGCTGCCTGACTCAACCAGTCCCTAATCCAGGGCGTCTGCTGGATTCTTGTGATTTAAAGAAACAGAGCAGTGGGCTCAGCCCATAACCAGAGAGCTATCTCTGAAACACTGGGCTGAACAACTCCTGAGCATTCTCTTGTTCTTGGGATCTCCCTTCCTGAAATGTAACTTCCTTAACCCAGCCCCAAGCTGAGTGTTCACATCTTGGTGATTGTCATAGAAATGTCTAACCCTTACTGTTGGTGATTCTCACGTCCCCACTCCCTGGTGATTGTAGCAGCAATCTGGCTAGACGTGGCGCAATGAGCATGTGACAGAGCTTAGACATTTACGTTTTGTTTCCTATTTCTAGGCTGTTATATGGATGCCTGGGGACACTTGTTAAGTAAAGGGGGAGAAAGTAGGGTTGGCGTTTTGTTTGGCTGGTGAGTGAGGACACTGCATGGGGACCAGACAGGGGACTTGAGACCCTTTGCCAAAGGGAAAGGACCTGATTTCAGAATTGAGGTTTTGCTTTCCTGACTCCAGGTCAGCATGCTCCGCTGTTGTTTCTTGGAAGAGAAACACGGACACTGCACTCCTAATTATGCTCCTCTTTGGCACTGCGCCTTTGTCAGCTGGTTAGACTGAAGGCCTGGCGCATCTGAGCACCATGCAACCTGGTCCTGTAACCTAGTTTTCTGAGCACCTAGTGCTGTTTCAGGCAATCAGGGCAGAGGTTACAGTGGGGAACTGCATTTGATTGATTTACTCTTGCCCTGGGGTGTGTGTGTGTGTGGGAGCTGTGTTTTGGATGCTGTAGCCCCCTTTGGCTGGGTTTTTATGGTGTGGAAATCGGATTTGGGGGGGGGGGGTCCATTTGAGCAGAGCAACGAGGTGGAGAATTTAGAACAGCGCCTGCGCAGGACACGACATGAGGTGTGGGAAGAGCTGGTGGCAAATGACAAACTGAGCATGGAAATCGCGCTGGGTGAAACTTGCTCTGCTTTCATGAGCCTGAGTTCACCTGGCCTTCACTGGGAATCCAGCCACAGCTGCTGCCTGTGGGGTGCTTACTCAGAGTTTGAGGGTCAGCAGCTCAGCCCGATCCCAAACCTTGTAGTACCACCCTTCAGTGGCCCACTTGGGGG